ACGTACTTGAGGTTGCTTACTTTTTTTGTAAGTATTATATCTATATTGATATTCTTGTGAAGCACTTTTTCGAGCCATACGCAATATTATTTATAACTTGTGATCATTTCTAAGAACTTATTATCTTATGGTAGTTCTTATCATGGATTTAATATCAATGTTCAGATATTTAAAGCAGTACATGCATAAATTCTAGCAGCAACAAAGTGTTTTGTATAAACACACAGATATGTTATTTTTGTCAACATTTCCAAACCAGTTCTTCTATAATTTTCTATTTCTCTCTTTTTGTTTCTTCTTCTTTGTCTTTTTTTTTAATATTAAAACTTTTTATGTGAATAATTGTGTAGGGAGAGGACCTAACTACTGTAGGTCTGCTGCCCATTCCCATTCACTTATTTGAATATATATTGTTTGAATTAAAGAAAAGCATGTTCAACCGCATCTATATTATCGTTTATTACAATAATATGCATGATTAAACAATTAAAAATATTACGAGATAAATATTGCAATAATTCACATAGATAAATTTCTTCACCGAAATTCGGCATTTTATTGACAAGTCATCCTTATAAATGAAGAAAATATCATACCGAATGATTTTAAAGTTCAAACCATATAAAAGGGCGCTGTATGGTATCATTAAATTTAAAAGCCGTGAACATATTTTGAAATAAGACGTGCAAAATTGATTATCAGGTAGAGATATTAGCTAATACAAAATTTATTAGAGAAAGTAGAGGATAAAGAATTAGAACACTTAGAAACAAATGGACTCTCCCCTTTTCCAATTTTTATCTCATCGTAGTAAATAACTTCTATTTTATTTTATAAATTTTATTCTTTGTAGCTTTTCATCAAATTGTACTCTTCATTTGCACTTTTGTTTACATGGCATAGTTCTACAATTATTTTTACCCTCATTGAAAATGTGAAGATAAAGATATTCTATTACTATTTTACCATATTTTATTACTTGATGAGTTTTTTTCCTTGTCAATGCAACTAATGGAAATGCTTCTAAACTGATCACATTTGCTTCGTTGATAGAAAAATTCAAAGTCTAATTCCTATTAGTATTGTTCCATTGTAGAAAAAGGAACAGGGTTAAAAACAACTGTTTTCTTTTTGTTCTGCAGAGTGGGAGACAATCGAAATTTATATTCATAAGAAATTTTACACAACAAACATGTACAATTTTTAAACCACTCTATTTTAAAACTCTTACAATTACAAAATAGTACCCAAACTGAAATTATGCGGCACAGAGATAAGAGAAGAATAGGCAAATGATTTCCTGCAAAACGCACATATTTCCTATCATTAATTTGAATTTAATTATCCATTTAATATAAGTATGTTCTTCTTTTCAAATGACAGAAAAATATTTTTCCAAAATAGATATTGTAAAAATCTTAACATTTTCAAGTTTATTGAAATTATGAACACAAATAATGTAGTAATACAAAAATCGTTGTCATAATTTGTTAAAAAAATTTTCAAAACTGTCTGTTCTTCTTGAATCCTCCATTTATATATAACTGATTATATGTTTACTTCATTCTTTTCATGTTTTTCTTGATATACTTGTCTATTTTTGACCCTTGACTGTTATTTTTGTTTGAATATATGTATATATATACCTCTTGTATCAGTAATCTGGTTCTGAGAGAATACAGAATTGAATTGCTTGTTGGGAGGCTACATGTATGACGATATTTAAACATTTGTTTCGATCATCTTTATGCTTACATTCAGATAATGTCTAAAATTACGTAGAAACTTCCAAAAGGATACATCGTATTCAAATAGTTTCCTCTAAAGTTGTTCGCAACTTATAAATTTATTTGTTCAATTATTGATTATTTTATATTTATAAAGAGATATACATGCACATATACAAGAATATTTTGAGCATATTTTAGAAGTTACTTTTATTACATGCAACCAATACTTGCCTGACTTTCAGAAATGTTTGTTTCATTTCACTATCATATGATAATCTATTTTGTTTCTTACACCTTACACATAATTTTAAGACACGGATATTTTGATGATGTCTTGAATTCCAGTGTTTATAGTTTGTCTGGCCCATTACCGGGTCGACTTTCAGTCATGGAAGTTTTTATTGCATTTGAACACCTGCTTCTAAATATATTGACTTTTTTTTCATAGGTTTGACATTGTTTAAATAGAACACAATAATTGCAAATTATCAATTCTTTGCTATTGAATTCTCTACACATCTTTTCCTTATTTATTCATATCCATTATTTATTGCCTATTCATAAACATTGTATAATCAATTTACGAGCCAACGCACAATAACATATCAAGATGAAGGACCTAAAATTTTTATTCATATTTTCTGATTAAAAAAAAGTACACTGGCATCAACATATGTTACTCTTTTAATTGTCATAGATAAAAATTAAAACTATATACTGTTATCTTAGCAAGAAGAAGTGATGTCAATTTATAGATTTCCTTTTCAAAATAGTTTCCTTAATTAGAAACATCTGTGCACTTTGAATAGAATTCAAGCAGCTATCACAACGTTCCGACTAGGAAATAGAACTTGGTAAGAGATAAAACCACTGCCTGCACAATAATATTTTTTTCTCAGTAATTCAGAATATAGCATTTATATATTCTTTCCTTTCATTTATAATTTCACTCTTTTTATATAAACATTTGAAAACTGGAATATTAATCAAACTAAAATAGTTAAAACTTAAATATATAACCTAGATCTTTTATGTTTAAAAGGTTAAATATGAAAACTTAGCTTGGAAAAGTTAAATAAATTATTGATTATTGTCTTCTTGCTTTTAATTATATGTATTTTGTTTCAAGAAAAAAAAAAAGGTTGACCAAGCCCACTGAGCGGGTGCTTAACATGGATTTGCTTAGTCGCCAAAACTCTTCAGAGATAATCATTTAGTAATCTTCCTAATGATTTCAAATGCTGGTACTCTTGCTTTTCCTCTCCAGATAATTAATTAAATTCTTGTGGGCCCTAGTAATACAGAAATGTCGGTATGAAAATTGACATACAGGTAATTTCTTTATGTAAATACAACAATAATAAATGTTTTGTTTCGCCTAGCTCCAGTGATTGACATTCGATGCAACAAAAGGACGGTCATTCTTGGGTGCCAGATTCCGGGTTCTTAGAATGATCTACACAATATTTCCCCGTCCTTATTGCCAATATTCCATTTATCGCCCGTATTCCCGATGACAGACCGCCACGACATAGAATACGACTAGATGTAATAAATTTCATTCCGATTAATGAAATCGACAGACTCATTCGTTTCTTATCTAGTCTAAGGAAAAGTCGCTAGGAAACACAAACTCATGTAAAGAACCGGCGATTGAGCTCTATTGTCTTCACGGACAGTCGCACAAAAAGTAAAATCGAGGCGGGTGATAAATGAGGCCTGGGTGATGGTCGGTTGAAGTCTCGCCTTATGCAGCAAATCAACCAACATAACCATTGACCCTAAAGGTGTTGTACTCTCTAGAATTGCGTCTTGGAATACAAAAATAATTCTTCAAATTATAAGAAAAACTTCCGTCTTTGTACTTTTATTTTTGAATATAAAATTAATCATGTAAAAAAAAGTCATGGAAATTTATCAACAAGGAATTATTAATTCAAACATTTTGTTCCCCAAGTGAATGAGATTGGGCAGCAGTTAGAACCTATTTCAACCTTCTTCCAATACCAAGGTAGTGAATACACACATTAGTTTAAATATGATATAAACATGACAAAATAGAGAAAAGAACACAAGAAAAAAAGAAAAATACAGAAATACACCGGTTTGGAAATACTGACAAAAATTGCATTTTTGAACAAAACTTTTCATTGCTGCTATAAATGATTGTACCGCCTCAAATATTAGGTCCATGATAAGGATAATCAGAAAATAATTATTCAAGTTCTGGATATGATCAACACAAGTTCTAATATTGTGTTTGGCTTGGTAAAAATATACTCTTGATGATGTATATTTGGAACATAAAAAATAACATTAAAATATGTTAATAATAACGGAATATATTATACAACCAGAGATCAATAGCAATAGTTCGACCGACCAAGCATAAAATATAATTTAAGCAATCTGATTTTTAAAAAAATGTCATCTAGATATTTATTTCCTCCATAATATAATTATGAGGATTGAGAAATATTTGTTTAAATAGTTAAAAATGAGTATTGTTATGATTATCATTATTATATTTTTTAATTATCTGCTTTTGTAAGTTAAAATTGCAGTACTAAAAGAACGTAAGCATGGTATAATATATCTCTTCTCTTTAATGTACTATTTAAAAAAAAATAATATATAATATTTTTATATCAATTCCACACACGGAAATACTTTCAACGTGTACATGTTATATACATAAATCAGTAAAAGCCTACGCGTGTTCAACGTACGAGTACTATGCGAAATCAGATTTCTTATAAGTTATTCTTAACTCATTTATATGTCTTTTAAACACATTACAAATCACGATATTAAAAAAAGGGATTATAATAATAATAAAACTTTAAATTGACAAAGACGTCATAATAAAACAATTTAATCAAATCCTTATAATTCACTTTTTAAGAATAACTACTGCCTACCCTGTTTGTACTCTGGTTTTGTCCCTACATAAAGATAAATACTACAAAGGCCATTTGTCTCTTTATTCTTTATTGATAGAAAATTAGGGTACTTTATAATAATCAAATGCTCACTATCGAAGATTAAGTCTCAGTTATAATTAATTATCTGCCGTGCGTTTAGAAACATTGCGCCGTCGGGGTGTGAATAGAGATTTAGTGTGACAAAACAAATTGTGCCTCGGTGTTTACATCAAGAGTTCTTCAAAGGCCTCAGCCATCTTGACCGCCATCATTAAGTCGTTATTAGTAATTTATCACAGTACCTACTTTTAAATGACTCTCTTTAAGTTTGCGGTTTTAAACCTACCTGGCCATTGAGCCTTCCATTGGTGAGCGTGTGATTTTGTTGTTTTCATCCAAGGGAACTGTAGGTGGGTTTGATTTGAATTTCCGCCACTTTGGTTTCCGTTTCCATTTCCACTAGTTGTTGTGGTTGATGGGGGCATTGTTTGAGAATGAGCCGGTGGGGGCTGAGATACAGTTGGTAAGATTCCAGGGGTCAGTTGCATGGGATTTTGCATGTGAGCAGGCGTGGTATTAGCAATGGGAGAATGTCCAGTCCCTTGTGTTGTTTGTAGATTTTGTTGTGGTGCCATTTGATGATTTACAGTATTAGAAGAGTCAAGAGAGGTTTGTTCTACAACTTGCATTGGATGTCCTCCATAGCCAAGATTTGAATTTCTTTGGTAGATACACGCTGGAGGTGGAGGCTGTCCGGAAGTACCGTAGGGTCCCGGAACAGATGCAGAAATACCATAATTATCCCGCTGGTACATCGATTGGGAATAATATGCACCATCCATCTTCACTTAATTGCCTGCAAATAATCAAATAATAGTTTTCAAGTATTGTATATTCCTAAACGGGTAATTTGTCAATGTCACACTTGCATCAGAGACAACTAGACCACGTGACCAGTTTCTCTCATCGCCTTACCTTTTTTATCTACCAATTCTTCCAAGCCTCTCTCTCTCTCTCTCTCTTTCAAATCTCCAGATATTTATCAAAATAATTTGCACATTGAACAGTTTTACCACTAGAAATGAGGGCTTGGATGACAGATATAGTATAAGATTAGGCTGTCTTTGTGATATCGACAAATCATGTGTTAAGATGGGCGCAAGAGTCAGAGAGCGCTGGGGTTTACCTGCGGGCCCCTGTCATTAGCCTTCTCGACTTGCCTTGTCACTAACACCTCTTCATCTAATCTTCAGATATGATATAAGAAATCCTTCAAGGATCAGACTTTACCTTTTTATAGTCCCATGCAGATGTCAGAATACAATTTCTTTATGCCACTGTGTGGTACATTTTCACGTTTGGAGAAATTAGAAAATCAGTGCATTGCTGTCTTGGAATTTAAATTTGTCAGGAATGGATTTACATCGCAGATCTTTCAATACACACGGGGATTCTAAAAACACGATAGAAGCAGAAGGAACAGGTACTTAAGTGGCGATTTTAAAGTTTTAAATGCACGAACTGGAGAAACTCACCTGTGCTGACTATTATCAGAAGAAATTCCATCTTCACGCTGTTTTGTGTGCTACCTCTGGTGACCTACAGTATAGCGACAGAGGACACGCTTTAATAAGAAAGCCAATGTGGAAGAGTGAGAGATATAACACGATAGTAATCCGGGATGTAGACCATACTCGTCTGGAATTCACTTTGCATATTTTCTACAATTAGTCCAACTGACCAATGACATGGTATAAGAAATGTTTTGAAAATTTGAAAATGGGACCTGTGTAGTGTCTCATTCGAACATTTCCCACAGATGAAATAATTCCTACTTCTATTGGTTTTTCTACTATTTAAATTTTGTAAACATTGTGTCAGGTTCTTATCTGGCGACAAGTTTTGTGAGCCTAGATATATGAGAATTTGTCCGGGCCCCTCTGAATACCATTTTAATCAATACAAGAGTCCACCAGTGTAGGCTAATGTCGAAATGAAAGGACTCAGTGATAACAGTAGTCGGAAATCTTCAGGAGTGTCGTTTCACATTTGCTTTGTATTCAAATGTAGAATGTTTCTTGTCAAATTTCTGATTGTTTTATCAGTTTAAGTAAATCCTGTCATCACTTTCAATATTTGTTATAATCAGTTTACTTATCTTTTTTAAAAAAACAATTATTGCCTTTTAAAAATTATTATGAATCAAATTTTGTTATAATTATTTCATATGGTGAAATTCTTATTTTCTATTTACAATAACATTGATTCATGATTTTCTTTCCTGTATACTTTTTTTAAAAAGAACCTCAAGAACCTGTCACAAAATGCATAAATATATTATGTAAACATTACTTTTCATTGTTAATTCAATTATTTTTTTGCTTAATAAAAAAATATGCACTATTTATTTTGCCTGCTTTCGGTGAACAGTCGCTCTACCATCACCAGCTTTTATTTGATACAAACTTTTTGTTAGAAACAGTTATTTCGATTTTTATTACATGCTAAAAGTGCACATGATAAAAAATGTTTATATAGCAAAATGCACACTGTTCATTTGTTATAATTTTTTGTCGACAAATACAACATATCAGCTGTTTTATTGACATACATGAACCATTTCCTGTAACCTGTTACAGATTCAATAGAAGAACAGCAGCTTAGCAAAATACTCTACTATTTGTCTTTTTTTGTTGCTTGGACTCAGGGGTGTAAAAATTTATTTTTTACATCTTTTATTTAACAATGATAAAATTATAATTCAAGATCTGTAAGAAATAATAGGACTTTTCTCAATTCATATATAGAACAAATGTGTCTTCGTAAAACATCATTAATAATGCATTTTTTTTTTATTTTAAGCTTTAAATTAAACAATAGTTATTTCAATAAATAAAATAAAATTGTTAGTTGGCGTATATGCCTATGTCCTATTTTGTAGCACAAGATCAAATGCAATATATATATATATATATATATATATATATATATATATATATATATATATATATATATATATATATATATATATATATATATATATATATATCTCAAAGTATGTAGAAAAGGCAAAAACTTACAAGTAAAGAAGCATTAAGTTCATGCACACCGAAGGAAAGAGAAAGTATTGACTTTGTGAAAAAGTAACATTCTTTAAAACATCCTACAGGGAAAAAAAATGAATTATTAAGTTCTATTGTTACTCCTAAAAACTTTTAGTGCATCAATGATTCTAATATATATAATTTCTAAAAAGACTCATTTTTGGAAAAAAAAAAGTTCCGGTTTTGCTTAAATTCCAGCAAGAAATGTGTTATCTGCATTAATCAATTTTCACATTGATTTATGTTCTTTAAAAAATACGTAAATGGAACAGGGTGTCAAAATGCACAAACTCTGTCAATGTCATTTTACTTTTTAGATTCATATTCTTATTTTCAGATGTGGTATGTTTTTTCTCTATTATTGTACATGTAATTGTGCTAAATTAGGTATTTACAACATCATCATAAAGTTGTATGTTTTTTTTATAATGATGTATCCATCTTAAAGAATGTCTATTGATTTTCTAGTATACGTATCCTTCACTTCAGAAACGATTCTCAATTGCACAAAGAAATAAATCAGTTAATAAAGGATTGCAAAGAGGTAAGAAGAAGACTGTGTTCGATTTCCCCTTCTTATTTGGTCATAATGAAGGGAGAGGTGTGAAAATGTATGAAATACCAAACTTTGTCAAGTCTTTAGTACTACTTAACACTATGAGGGCCACGATGATGACCTTGTAGGTGTGAGTAAGTTGATGAATTCATTATGTAATGATCTTTGAGCATATAAGGCTTTTTATCAACCATTTCTGTCTCTAAAGTTATCAACTAATGTTGGTTTGTGTGTTGCTTCTTTTTCTTGAGAAGACACAGACGTACAAACTCAGCTGTGGCAATTTTGTGACTGACTCTCACGGAATTCACCTGTTTTGAAAGTAATTCCAAGCAAAAATTTACTAAATTTGACCATAGTTTACTATAGTTACCCATAGTAAACTTTAGTTTAATATGGTTTTTTTTTTTTTGTTAGGGAAAATAGGATTCTCTACAGAACGTATGTCTTGTTAAAAAAATTAGAATTTTTCTTCTTCGTTTAAAAGGAATCCTTTTTAATAATTCCAATATCCCGACACTTTTAATGAATATTAAATGATGTGTACAGGAATATTAGAATCAGCAGCATCCAAAAAAAGGAAGAATAAGTATTAGTATTAATTATTACTAATGCAACATTTATGCTGAAATATACATATAAAAGAGATTGTTTTAATTTATTAAAGACACGAATAAATTAGATTGAACTGACAAACAAAGATTTAAAAAAAAACATTTAACAAGATACAAAAAGGTATACAACTACTGATAGATACACAGCGCATAAAGAATTTTTATTTCGTGATTTGCAGTGTAACAGATTATTGTGAATATGACAATGTCCATGACTCGTAACAATATATATCATTTCTCTGCTTTTGATGTTAAAAAATATTTTCATGAAATAATGTCATCTTTTTTTTTATATACACAAACACATGTCACATAATTCCAAATGACGATCAGGTGTTATTATTATTTATGACAGTGAAAATAATTTGTCTAACTTAAACTTTATTTCAAATAAATCTTATTATCTTGTTATCTTTTTCTTATATATATATATATATATATATATATATATATATATATATATATATATATATATATATATATATATATATATATATATATATATATATATATATATTAGATACCGTCTCACTCAGGACGTCTTGGTCCGATTTCTAATTATTTTATCTCACATAAATATGTTAATTTAATGTTACTTTACATTTTGTGAGGCTATGCTGATTTGAATGAAAAAAATGTTATGGGTTACATGTAATCCTGAACACAAATATCGATCATATACAGTAAGTAAAAGAAAGGAAAAAGATATAACATCAACAAAATCTTCAAGGATTCTTAAGATATACGCAATAATTGTTTTCATCTCTTTTGTAAAACAATTGATTAGCAAGTGACTGACTTCAGAGATAACGTATATAAATTAAACCTAAATATAATTAGATAATACGCCTGATTGGATAAAATTCCTGTAAATACTATGTGTGTAGCAATAAAGCAAATGGAACACGTTTTCTGAATAATTTATGATTCTAACAATATTGACAAGAATTTGTTTATTTTACACTCATGTTCAACCTTCACAATATATATCAGTCGGTGTTTGTTTTGACTTCATTATGAACCTAACTGTTAAGTGCGAAACAGACGGACCAGTAACAATAATAACAATGCTTAAAGTGTCATTTAGTTATATGTTTAGTGTTCTTAAGCTGCTGAAAATCCTGCTGGCGACATAATGATCTCGGCGGACAGCTTCATTGACTAAGCAGAGACTACAGGGATATACTAGTTGACAATTTTATTTAAGAGTTATTTCAATAAATTATATTCGCGTTTAAGTTTAAGGTTTTGTTCGGAGCCTGGAGATCGGCGTATGTTTTTGCGCTACCAGTTTATGTGTTGTGGTGTCAAATCCCTGCGATAAACGATATGAGTCATTTATTACGTGGATTCCATGTCTTGGAATGGTCACCTATATAACCAATTATCTTATCGTCACGAACGGGGAAAGTACTATATAAACGTTCCATACACAATACAGTTTATATATCTGAATATGTTCCCTTTAGGAATCATTTATTTTCAACCACTGAACAGACAAGACAATCAAAGAATCATTATTAGAATTTAATTATGAAATTTTGTATTCTTTAAAAATTATCTTACACTTACAGTTACTTTGAAATCACTGGACGATTTTGTGCAATAAATTTACTGTGCTAAAAAATACATTTTTCAAGTCCAAGTCAAATTTGAAGTTATTGCAGATATTCTTCAAAAAACATAATAATGCATGTTATAAAGGGAACAGCCACATAAAATAAGATATGGTCATCATTATGGTGCAGTCATATTCAGAAAATTAAAAAGAAATACATTTTCATTTCTTAAAAATAATTTACTATCATTTTAAAATATTAAATGTGCGATTAACATGAAGGAACAAGGCTTTTCTGAAGTCTTACCCTAAGCAGATAGATTTCTTCATCATAAGTTATAATCATCATAAGTAAAGGCAAACAATAACAAGTAAACTATAGTTTCATATAGCATAGTTTGCTATGGTAACTATAGTTTACTATAATATCAAAGTAAATACTAATCAACTGTAGTAAGAACTGATCTTTGATTCACTATGTTTTCAACTTTGATACTATAATTAACAATAGTAAAACCTTGACACTTTGTTTTGCTATAACAAAAAACAGAAAATTACTATAGTGTAAACAATGGAGTTCTAATTCACCATGGTAAAAACTTCGAAATTATTATTTTTTTGGCAAAAACTATGGAACTTTCTTTTACAAAGTTAAATATAGTAAATTATTGTTTATTTTAGTAAACTATGTTTAACTAATATAAATTACAGTAATTATGTTGCTATTGTATAAGTCTACAATTTGATTACCTATTGTGAAATCTTTGATATTTTGATATACTACAGTACAATGTAAATGCAATGAAACTTTGATTTACGATAATAGATATTTTGATACTTTGGTTTATTATTAACAATAATTAACTAGAGCACATCTAGTGTAAACATACTGTGTAAGATATTGATTCTATTTATCGTCATTGATAAATAAATTGATGCAAAAAAAAGTCAAGATAAATATGTCCCGATTGCAGTCAATATTTGTCAAGTCATGTAATGAAGGGATTGTGGTAATATTAAAGATACATATTGTCTCTGACTTCATTTAATTTTTCACTCAAAAAACAGATCACTGGTTTATGAGGTACATATATGAGTATATACACAACGGGTAAGTGTCAAAGTAGACAAGTACATAAATAAAAAAAAAAAAGTAAACTCAAACGCGTTTGTGAAGTAACGGTAACGATTGTTATCACATTAAAAATTCATGACGTTGTACATCAATAAAAACAGTTTAGGTACGAAGTGGTGATTTCAAAAGTATTAATATAATTATG